CCCACCTGCTTGCATCTCTGCCCACAGCTCTCCGACGCCAGACTCCACCAGGAACGTGCGGCTGTGGCGGGACCGGCGTAGCTGCTCGCGGGCTGGGGGTCGAGGGACAGCAGGACAGTGGGGTTAGAAGGAGGTGCCTCTGCTAGAACGCTCGGCACCCCCCTCACCAGCACCCTCCATGAGCATCTGGACCAGCCAGTTCTCCTGAAACTCTTGCTCTACTCTAACTAGGAGAAGGCAGTGCTGAACCTCAAAGGGTCTGGAAGAACCCAATGGGGTACGCTCCAGTGTTGGGACCAACAGCTGAGGGGAAGTATTTCTGGCTGCAGGACATTCCCTTAATGCAGGCTGGCTCATGGCAGGGCAAAATTGGGGTTAGGACAGTTTGGCTGGGGGAGGAGTTCCTGGGGGATCCAGGGGAGCCCAGGACTTGGGACCTCTTCTAGTCATGGGAGACAGCATCTGGGAGAGTGACTAAGACTGACCACAGCTGTCTCAGTGCCCAGTCCTGGTACTGGGGCTTGAGCTTGGTAGCAGGAACTTGGGGCTATTGTGGGGGGAATGGGGATGACAGCTATGTACCAGGATGGGAGAGGTGGCTGATTCAGGGGCTGCTGAAGAGAAAACTCTTGGAAGACCACCTTGGTTCAGAGTGGGGGCTGACTTCCTCCCTTGTCAGCACCTCCCCTCGGGACAGGTTGTTTCCCCTACCTTCAGATTGAGGACTGGGGCTGAGTCCTACCTTCCTCAGACAATGATCTCCTAGGGCAAGGTGAGATCTCTGTCCTCAGATTGGGCTCCCCCAGCTCAGGGCCGTGCCTCCTCCCTCAGCCTGAAGTCCACCAGAGATGTTTCTGCCCTCTCAGATTGGGCTGGAGTGGGGCAGGGGGTTGTCTCCTCTTGATGTCGGACATGGCCGAGCCTCTGGCCTCAGTGACCCTCTGACCCTCCCAGGGCAAATGTCATACCACTGGGTAGTGCCCCTTGGGGCAGCTCACCCTGCCGGAAGCTGGAATCGATGGAGCGGCGCTCACCCAGGCGTCCACTGCCTGGAGCCCGGCTGCTTAGGTCCAAGAGCTGGTGTAGACGCAGCTTGCGGCAGTAGACAGAGGCGGCCTCTGGCTCCAGGGCGATGAGGAGTTGCTCTGCGTCCTCCCTGGACACCAGGCCAGCCTGGGGATAGGTGGTGGGCAGGGCCAGGGAGCTCCATGGGCCAAGTGTCACACCTCAGATGGCACCTCCGGGCAGGCAGCCAGGGCCTGGGGGGCTCCCCACCTCCTCCCCATCACACCCCAGCCATGGTAGGCCTCTCAGGCCCCTCCATGCTGCACAAATTTGGAGCTCCCTCATAGCTACCCCGTGACTAGCCTGGGGAGGGGCACGGCCACAGCCAAGAATACCATGGGGTTGCCCAGCAGGAAGAGACTAGACAGTGAAAACCTAGAGCACCTGGGATCTGCCCCTCCAAGCTGCCCAGGGTGGCCCAGGCTCTGGCAAGGTCCCCTTCACAGGTGCAGGGCTGGCTAGCTGCGCACCGGCTGAGGGTGTTAGCCCAGACTCTAGCACAGTGTGTACGGGGTGTAATGGCCAGATCACCAATTAGAGCAGATGGTGTGTGCGTGGGGAGGTCCCCTTTGGCTCACTGAACCCTCTTCCTTCACCAGGCTGGTGTCAGACAATAGCCACACTCCCCACTCTCAGGAGAACTTTGTTCCCCAAGAATCGGATATAGGCACCAAGAGACAAACAGTGAAATTGCACACACCAGGCCAGGCCAGTTGCGGGGAGAAAAACACCTGGGATCTGTTACTTCCTGTATCAGGACAGGGGATCCCTCCCCCTGTGGGAAGTACTTTATGGTTTTGTGGGATTCCCTGGATTCTGTGCAGGTGGGGGTTGGGGATGGGTGGGTATGGAGACTTCCCGCCCAGGGCCAGCCCTTCCTGAACTGGCAGCCTGGGACCAGTGTGGGAGGAAGCAGGTTAGATAAACCGGCAGGGGGCACTGCGGGGGGGGGGGTTTGTTTATTCTGGCTGGGCACAGCCTTGCTTTCATCCTGGTCTCTGCAGGGGGGATGCCCACTACCTCAGGGTTAGCTCCTTCCGGTGACAAGCGTAGGCACCCACAGACATGGCACCTGAGGCATGCCTGGCCCACAGGTGTGTGGGGGTTGGGGGCTCTGGTATCTTCCAGGGGGTGCACCGGCAGGCCTTTTGGAGGTCCTCGGGTGTCCCCCAAGGCCCCAGGGGGAGGACCAAGCCATGAGTCTTCTCTGGGAGGCTGTGCTCCCCTTCCCCCCATCTCACTAGAGGTGGGGGGACTTGAGTTGTGTGCCCCCCCATTCTCCAGACCTTTGGGCATCTCTTACGGTAGGAAGCCCAGCAAGCATTGGTCCAAATCACCTCCCTTCATAATTTCATCGCCCTGTTTCTCCTGCTCAAAGACTGACAGTGGTTGGGGCTCGGTGGTGGCGGAGTCCCTGGAAAATACTGGTGCTGGCTGAAGCGGATGTTCTTGGTGCCCTGCCCAGCTACTGTGTGTTGGCTCCCAGCTGCCCCCTTCTCTGGAGAACTGCCCTCAGCTGAATGGAAACCACCTCACTTGGAGAAGTTTCCCCCACACCCCCGGGAACCAATGACAGGCTGATACGGATCCAGAAAAAGCCAAACGCCTTGCCTCACTGTGGTCAACTGCTGGGTACAGCTCTTCCTCCAGTCCTCTCCACGGGATCAGGCTGAGGCTAGACTCCAGCTGAGACCACGTTCCTGCTCAGCTCTTTCTCCTGCCCATTTCCCTCACTCTTTCTCCTGAGAGCCCTTCTTCAATACGCTGCATGCACAAGAATCCTTATCTTGCGCTCTGCTTCTAGGAAACCTGACTTAAGACACCGGCTAGGCTGGCCTGGGCTGTGCCTCTCATCCCCTCTGCTCTCTGTTCAGCAGGCTCGCACCCTCTCCTGGTGGCAACTACCCTCCAAAATGCCCAGCAGGGGAAGGCCGCAGGTCTTTACGCAATGACTGGTCCCAAGGGTGGTGGGTAAAGGAGGGTCTTGGGGTCCTCCCTGGAGCCCTCCTGAGTGACGCCCCCTGCTCTGTCTGCCCGTCCTCACCAAGTAGGCAGCCTCACGCATGAACTGCTTGGCAGGCTGTTTCCAGATGGCGGGCACCGTCAACACCCAGCGCACAGTGTCCTTCTCTGGCAGCGATGGGCACTGCTCCCTCAGCTCCTGCAGCAGGAGGGGGCAGCAAGGGGTAGGCTGGCTTGGGTTGGGGGTGGGGTATCTTCAGCCTTCTATTTATGGGAGCTGGAGTTGCTAATCAAGCCTCAGGAAGGACTTCCCAGCTGAGTGGGAGGAATTCCTAACGCCCCCCCCCCCCAACACCTGTATGTCCCATGCAGGCTCCATCCAATGGGAAGGCAGGGGCTGGAGAAGATGATTTCTGACCCCTGCTGGATAGGCTGAGAGGAGACGATGGACCTGGGGGTCCCTGCCCCGGGCCGCAGCGCACCTGAAGGGCATGCTCCTTGAAGAAGCGCAGGGCATGGGCGAACACCTCCAGGGCAGGCATTTTCTTTCCATTTACAGCCTCTAGCTGGGTCTTCAGGGTGAGATCCTGGCAGGGTCATAGGCAATTCTGCAGAAGGCCATAGCTCTGCCCCCACTTCCTGACGACCCCTCTCTGAAAATCACCCCATTTCCTGCTGCTTCGCCTCTGGAGTGTCCTCGCTAATCCCACATTAGTTCTGTCCCCAGCCCCTCTCGTCAGCCCCGCCTCTCCTCTAATCCTGGCCTCACCCCCTAGCCCCGCCCCCTCAGCCTCTCCTCACCTTTTACCTTTGCTCCCCCTCCGTGAGCCCCTCCCTTTCCACTCCTGGCCCCGCCCCCCTGGCTGGAGCGGCCCGGAGCCAGAATGTGCCTTACAGTGGTGCTGTGGATCTTCATTTTGAACTTCTCGAAGTAGAGCCAGTCCCGCGCCTCCTCAGGGTCCAGATCGTGGTAGTAATCGCGGGCGGTGTAGCCAAAACTGTGAAAGGCGCCCTCCGGGGTCAAAAGCAGGCAGGTGGGGGTCTTCTGGTGGGCCACTCCTGGGTCCCCGCCCTCCCATTTCCTGTGGAGGCACAGGGCTGTCAGTGTGGTCGGCGAAACCCTCCCTTCGTGGGGTTGGGTATCGGGCTCCGGGATCAGCTGTGTGATCTTGGGCAGGCCACCTAGCTTTCCTACATGTAATATGGAAATAATAATAGTACCTACCTCTTAGGGGTCTTGTGAAGATCGTGCTTGGCATCCCCTTAAATCTCCATAAATGCTGCTCATTGGATCCTGCCTATCCATGGGGCCACTGGACCCATCAACATCCTCAGCTCCTGCTTCCTCCCATGAGGTATACCGTTGGACTTCGCCTCCCTGTACTCTTAAGCAGCAGCAAGCCATCATCCACCTGCCTGGGTCTGGCCTCCTGATGTATCCCTAGAGGACCCTCGCAGAGGCTTTCTCCCAGCCAGACGGTTTGCCTTCCTCTAGGCTATCTTCCACCGCCAAGCTCCTTCAAGGCATCGATCATTCCTATCTAACCCACCTTGGCAGCTACACCCAGTTGACTGCACCTCCAGCAGGACCCCAAAACCTGAACGAGATTCCAAACCTCCCCATCTGCAGGTGCCATCTGGAATTCCACCCAGAACTCCTTGTCTAGTTCATTGGCCTGGCAACTTCTTTCTCCCCTTCCTCTGCCTTCTCTGATGCCCTGACCCCTCTAGGCCAAGCTCATCCCTGCAGCCTTTAGGGGAAGGAACTGGGAATCCAGGCAGAAGGAACAGCATGTGCAGAAGTTTAGAGGTGTGGAAGAGCCAGGAGAACCAGCTATAGGCTGGCTCAGTGTGCAGCTGGAGAAAATGCAGGAATGTTAAAGTCAGCTAAGGAAGAGCATCAAGTGCCATATCTGAATTCTGTCTTGATGGGTTTTAAGTAGGAGAATGAGGAATCATAACCACATCTGCCATTAGAAAGGTCACTGGTTGACCTTTGTGGTGGCGGCAGGGGTTACCGGCATTCAGTTGCTGGTACGCAGCTTTCTGTTCACGCCCAGGAGCTACACACCCTTGAGGTGACTGGCCAGGGCACGATAGCCCAGATCAAGGCTCACACAGACTTGGAGGGCATCACTCCAAGGAGATCAAGCCCTGCTCCTGGCAGGCACACCCCTAGACGATGAAGCTACCAGGGCCAGTGTGGGGTGGAGGCTCCGACCACTCTGGAAGTAACCATCCACATGCTTGGAGGTAAAGTCCATGGCTCCCTGGGCCGTGCTGGGAGAGTAAGAGGGCAGACCCAAAGTGGCCAAACAGGAGAAAAAGAAGATAGGCCAGGCCAAGCAGTGGATGCAGAACTGGTGTTTGTTAATGCTGTGCCCGCCTTTGGCAAGAAGAAGGGCCCCAGTGCCAACTCTTAAGTCTTTTGTAATCCTGGCTTTTACTAATAAAGCCACTTAGCCCAGTCAAAAAAAAAGAAGAAGAAGAAGAAGAAGAAGAAAGAAAAGAAAAGAAAGAAGAAAGAGAAAGAAAGTTCACTGGTCCCCATGTGGCAACAGCCTGGAGGGGAGGAAAAATGGAGAAGGAAAACCAGAGAGGAGGATATTGCTACCATCCAGGTGAGAGAGGGTGCGGCTGAACTTAGGGGTGGTGGCCATGGAGAGAAGTGACTGGGTGTTCCAGAGATATTAGGGAGATAGAAATGGCAGGTCTTGGTGGCTAGTAGGGGTGGGGAGGGTTTGGGAGGAAGCCAAGATACCCTCCAGTTACTTCCTGTGACTGTCCCCTCCACAGGACAGCGTCCTTTCTTGGTCCTCAGGCCCAGCATGGAGTCCAGCATGGTTTCCGTCATGTGTGCTGACGAGCATGCCAGCTGGGATGCCCTGGAGCTCCTAGAGGGCTGTAAGTGCCCAGAGCCTTTGTGGCCTTATGTGGATGTGGACGGAGCAGGGAAGGGGGAAGGACAGTTCATGCTTATGCAGCTGAAGTCCCTTGTATCTTTGGGGAAGTGACCCTTATGTTTGTCTCTCCATCCACCCTGCCATCTACCCTCCCAGGCCTTGGGAAGCCCCTCGGCTCCCCGATCCCGGTCGGGGTTGGAGCTTTGGGGTCTTCTAGAAGGGTCTTCCACCTACTGGCTGCAGCTTCACTAAGAATCCTGATCCTTCAAAGGATCAGGGTCTTGAGACCTGGAGGGCAGTGTCAAAAAATGTACTGTTCAAATAAAGCTCGACTACATCAGAATGGGTTTTTTGCCCATCTCTTTCCTAACAACTGTGTGACCTGTTAACTCAGCGAACCCTCTGATCCTTCACGTCTTTGTCCTTCACTGAGGTGTTCAGCCTAGGAATCTGCCTGTCTACCACACACAAATCCCAGCACAGGTTTTCAAGGAAGGCTATTCATTGCAGCACTTTTTGTAATAGTGAACAATTAGAGGGGAAGAAACCTCCCAAAACTATCAATAGAAAAATAGACGAATCATGACACATCTGTACGTAGGACACTATGCAACTATTAAGAGAAATTGTGGCTTCAATAGGAGCTGATAGGAAGAACAGGCCTGTTAACTAAGATGCGTGCCCTGAGCCCAAGGGAGCCGGGCGGCTGCCTTGCTTTTGTTGTTTGCTTGGTTCCTTTATCTTTTTCCTTTTTAAAGAAAAAATAAAGCAGGTGGATTTGAAAGAAAAAAGAAAAAAGAGAAATTGTGGCTTTATGTGTTGACACGAAACATCTACAAAATAATGTTGAAAGTTTAAAGTAAGGCAAGTTGTAGGATATCTCACTTTTATTTAAAAAACACATATATGTGCAAATATGCGTGTATGTTGGGGACGGAGGGAGCTCGGGGCAGACTCCATGTGTCCTCAGTGACAGTCCTTCTGAGACCAGGCCCATCCCAGGGAGTGAGGACCCCCGCCCCCGTCTCCCAGCCCAGCCACCCTCACCTCATCATGTGGATGGCTTCAGGATCACTGGCAAAGCTGAAGGCGTAGCCACTGGAGGTGGTCCCGAAGTCGATGGCCACCACCACGGAGAAGGGAGCACGCTGGGGGGCCCGGACCTCGGGCTTCTGTGAGGGTGAGACCCAGAGTTAGGCAGCAGCCAACAGCTGCATGCCCGAGCCCCTCCTCTCCTCTGGCTGTGGTCCAGACTGGCCCTGCCCCAGTCACCTGCCCGGGCTCCCCTCCCCTTCCCAGGCTCCAGGCTGAGCCCCAGAGCGACCAACTGCTCAGAATCCCAAGGCCTCTCAGGTCACCCTCTGCAGCTTTTGGCTTAAGCTCCTGCTTTCTTCTTTGGGTTCTCTGCCTGCCTTCTGCCTGGCCAGCCTGAGCCCCACCCCCCTCACAGCTCCTCGGGGCAGCTTCAGTAACACGTGGACCTGTGTATATTTGACCCCCCAGATCTTTGTGGCCACAGTGAGACAACCAGACTCCGTTGGTTTTATGGCAGAGGAGAAAGGCCTGTGCACGGGCCCACCGTGGTTCCTTCCTTCTCCCAGGCCAGGCCTGGGCTCCCTGAGAACAAGGGGATCCCCGGGGCTGGATCACTAGGGTGAGGCCATCCTGGGTGGGGTGACCCAGGGAGTTTGAGGGAGGTTTATATCCTGGATACTTCAAGCTAGTAGTTTCCAAACTAATTTTTAGCAATGTGTCTTGTCTTCCCCAGATATAACTTGTATTCAGGGAGGGCTGTGGTCCACAGGAGGGGGAGCAACTCTGGGAGGCCCACTGCTCTGAGGACCTGAAGTAACTACATGCTCAGAAGTCTCCCTGCCCTAGGCAGGCTCTGGTCCATGGATGGCATCCTGGAGCGGGGCTGTTCGGGTGTTAAGTTACGTTAGTCACCTGAGTAGAACTGTTACCCCTACAGTCCAAGGTCACCTGAGGCTAAGTCTTCTGGGGGAGACATAACTGGAATGTGCAGGGGCAAGAGGCATGGCGCCACCCCCAGGCCAGCCCGGGCCCTGCCAGGGATCTGCCAGACACATCATAATCCAAGTTCTCTGGAGCACGACCCCTCTCCATAGCACCCAGCCTCCCACCACCAGGATCCCTGCTCCCAGGCTTACTGGAGACTGCGAGGGTGTGAGTGGGGCGATGCCACAGCTTTCCTGGGTTCGTGGGGAGCCAGGCGGGCTGGGCACGGGGGACCGCTCGGGGCTGGAGCCTGCAAAGAGAGGGCAAGTCACTCTGGCACAATCAGGGTAGGGGCTGGTGGCTGGGCACTGGGAGGTTCTCCATCAGTCCTTGCTGCGCTGAGGCAAGGGGCACCCTGCTGGGGGAGGAGGACTAGTGGGGGAGGGGAGGAAGGACAAGACGGGGGCAGGGGCAGACTGAGGGCCTGTTATCAATTTGAGGTGACCTCCCCCTGAAGGGTGACCCATGCCTCACCTGGTGACTCCTCATCTCCCCAGCATCCCTCAGACGCAGCAGGGGAGGGGAGAGACAGAGAAGCATTATGGGGGATGGGGGAGACTGAGTGCAGAGAGAGAAGGGCAGGAGAGATGGGGTGGGTGGGCTCCTGGGGTGGAGGTGAGGGTGGAGGGTAGAGAAACCAGAAAAGGTGGGGAACTACAGACGGAACTGAGCAGGAGGTAGGGCTGCTCCCCTCCCTGGTAGACTTTGGCCACATGGTTCTAATCAGGACCCAAAGGAGCCACCCTCCCTTCCTCCCTCCCTCCACTAAGGGCCAAGGACAGGCCCAGGTGGTGGGGATCGAGAAGGGGAATAGCACTTCTCCCAGCCCAGCCCTCAGCTGGGGGGTGTCCACAACACTAGGAAGTTGGATTCTGAGCCGCCCTTCCCCATGACACACAGAAGCCTGGAGCCAGCATTTGGGGGCAGGAGGCCCCACTGAAACCCTCTCACAGGCCCAGGACTGAGCTGGACCTTTGCTGGGAGGAAGCAGAGCAGCTCCAGAAGGCAGCCCAAAGCCTGGCTTGGAGGATCACGCAGCTTAAGGGCCTGCCTGGCTGGTCATCCCTAGGTGTGGGCTGGTGGCTCATCACCACCACACTGGGCTCTGCTAAGGCCCTTGCCGGGGGTACTGGGGCTGCCCTGAGATTCAGGTGTGCGGACAGGGAGGTGGCCCAGGAGGCTGATGGGGTCTGGTGTGAAGACCTGCGGACACGTCGAACTGGTCTGGCTGGCTTTAGGCTGAGCCAGGGCCCGGGGCCTGTGTTCCTTCAGCAGCTGTCCTGCCCCGAGCCCTGACAGGTCCCAGTTTCCCCGACCTTGGGGTACGCGGGAACATATGTGAGGAATGAGGGGGACTCAAGGAAGTGCCAGGACCGGGCCAGAGTGTGTCTGGAGGTGTTGGAGGGGCAGGGTAGGGGGGTGGCTCTCCCAGGGCTCCTTCTTTCTAGGCAGCCGGCACAGGCTTGGGCCCTGCCACCAGCTCCAGCCCGAGGGCCCGAGTTGCTGTGGCTGGAGCCTGGGAAGGGAGGCAGGAAGGAAGGCCCAGCCCACCAGGTCTTTGTTAATGGACTTCCTGAGGAGTGTCCCTCCTGCCTCCCGGCCTGCCACCCCTGCAGAGAACGCGGAGCCAGCTCCCAGACCCGGCCACAGGCAGATGCGGGCGTATACATGCAGGGTTCTGTGCGTGCAGAGCCAGCTGCCAATACACACTCCCACACAAGGCCCTGCACACAGAGACCTGCCCACAGGCAGGCAGACACACGTGCGCGCGCACACACACACACACGCACGCTCATACCAGGTCCCATGTACACAGACCTGCTCAAGACATGCACATGCACACAGTCCTGGGCACACACACACTCACAGACACAGTCCTGTGTGCACCAAACCCCCCCCCCACACACACAGACACACTCGCTCAGCACCATCTTCTGGGAGACGCAGCCGTGTGCAGACTGGGGGTGGGTCGCGGTGCCCGGGTGAGTGGGGTGGTGGGTCAGGGCCAAGGCTGCAGGGGGTGGGGGGTGCGGGCAGGGGAGAGTCTTACCAAGGTACAGCCCCTGCAGGCCCATGTCCGGGACAGCCAGCATCTTTGCAGGCCCTGTGGCTGTGAGCAGGAACAGACAAAACAGAACGGCATTTATTTGTTCTTTTGTTTCCTCTCTGAATGCTTATTTATTTTATTTGTTTACTTTTGGCTGGAGCCCTTTGAAGCGAATGCCAGGCATCATGTTGTTTCACCTATAAATTCTTCAGTACATCCCGCTAACAGAGAAAGACTTTAAAAACATCGTCACAACACCGACCTGATGTGTAACAATATTAACAGTAATTCCTCAGGCTCATCTAACGTTCAGTCCCACAGTCCCCGCTTGTCTCAAAAACTTAACAGTGGCTTTGTTGCAACCAGGATGCTCCTAAATGTTTTCAAGCGCCCAGTCCGTGCCAGGTGCTTGCAGACATCAGCGACCCAGAGAGACACTGCTCCTGCCCCCGGAGGCCCACAGCCTGGTGGGAAAACTGATCATAGTCAGATAATCACCCAAGTGAATTTGAGATTACAAACGATGCTGTCAAGGTCACAGCTGGATACCAACCAGGCAGAAAGGCTTGGTACGGCTGGAGAGAGAGGCTGGGCTGGGCTGGGCTGGGCTGATCCTGTAGGCAGGCCCCTGGGGACCCTATTTTTATTTACTTATTTATTTATTTATTTATTTAATTTTATTTTTGAAGATTTTACTTATTTGAGAGAGAGCGAGAGCACGAGCAGCGGGGAGAGGCAGGGGGCAGGGAGAAGCAGACTCCCCCCGCTATGCAGGGAGCCCGATTTGCTGAGCTCGACCCCAGGACCCTGAGATCATGACCTGAGCCAAAGGCAGACGACTGAGCCATCCAGGAGCCCCTTAGGGCCCCTATTTCAGATCCGGTTTTATATGAAGGGCAACAGCAGATCTGGAAAGGTCTGAAGTACCAGAGCAGAGGTGGGGGCATGACTAACCTTGCATTTTAAAAAGCCCCCCTGGCTGTATGGAGGGTGCAGATTACAACAGGCGGCAGGGAAGCAGAAGCCCTATCAGGGCTCCAGGAGACAGAGGATGGTGGTGGCTGTGTGTCTTGAGACAGAAGTGGAGTTCTGAAGTTAGAGGTTAAAACCAACCGGGCTGACAGAAGATGGCCGGATTGGATATGGGGGCTTAGGAAGAAAAAGATGTCAAGGGTGACATTGTCCAATTTGAGCTATGAGGTGGACAGTGAGGTGGACACTGGCGAAGGTGGGGCTGGCAGGGGCAAGGGGCAGAGTTCTGGGTGCAGTTTTGCAACTGCCAAGAGAACACACCGAGGAGCCAG